GAAGTAGAAGATAAGAGAACGGTCCTACTTGATTGAGGTAGTGAAGAACGGGTTGAGACTCGAACTTAAACTACATAAACTAGCAGGTTTAACAGGGAGCAAAATTCCACGATGTTATCTGTACGACTATCTCAATGGAACGTCAATGGGCCTGAGGTAGAAGAAAAAATCAGCATAACTAAAATCTTTACCAGATATTTTCAATTTTAAAAGATCATTAATATATAAAAGAAAAAATAGGGGACCTAAAACCGTACTTTGAGGGGCGCCAGAGACGATAGGAAATGGATTGCTATAGACTGTTCCAACTTTTGTTATCTGAGTTCTACCCACTAAATAGCACTCAATAAGTTTGATAGGAACCTCAACTTGGTCCATTGCTTGATCACCTTGGCCTGCAAAGTTATGGCCCACCACACTTTTGACGGTCAACATCGGTTAATTCCATAGGGTCATTTTGTGTCCCCGAATCGTCAAAATCCTCTTAAACATTCTAGTCGTTGCCAATTAGTACCTTGATCTCCTTAGAGTGCGGGTACTTGGTCCAGTTCACCACTAAGGGTAGACATGGGTCTTTTGCCATGGTTTTGTGGTTCCAAATGGTCAAAATACATAGAAAAACATAAAAATGGATGAGTTCTGTTTGACGGGCAGCTGATAGAGGTGTGGAATGCCTTCCAAGGGTGATCCCATGCTTTTATTAATATCGAATATCGATAAACCAAGGGGATAGTAAAGCTGCCCGCACGGAGAGTTAATTAGTACGGTATTTCAGATCGCTCCATCGATTATAGCCGTTCGTTAAATATTTTAAAATGCAATAGAATTGAACCCCCGTTCTGGAGGCACCAGTGAAGTAGCCTCACATTCGGCAATCCAACGCTTTTCACATCATCATCATTGATCATGATGAATATGATATAATGTAGTACAAGGAGTGAAGTTACTATTCGGTTTACTCACCTAACATTACAATATAACAATGAATATCATGATTTTATGACATACTTTATTCATAAATAAAAGAAAAGACAAAACTAAAACTAAAAGAAAACAGTTAGATAATACACTGATGGACAAATTTAACGCACCACTCAATTTATTGAGTTTAAAATTAAATCATATAAAATGTATATATATCGATTTTTTTGCGTATGTTAAGAAAATAATAAATAGGATCGCTTTAAATAACATTAGTTACGTAAAAAGTTACAAAAATGGAAATACGCTTTCAGTAAAGAAGATAAAAAGATTATTATTTAAAAGAACAATTCGGTTTTATTTTAAGCTCTTTTTAAAACCGTTCTATACGAATTTCCATAAGAATAAACAAATAAACTTTTGAAAACATAATATTTTTATAAAATTGGTAATATTTTTCTTCTAAGATGTCTGGTGTTTCACTTAAAAATCATAACTTCTCTAAAATTTAACCAAATTCAACACTAGAACAATCATTGAAAAGCTGAATTTTTATAGTTTAAGCCTGCGTCAATGTTTGGATTTTATTGTATGATAAGGAATAAGGATGAAATCAAAATTTGATATATAATAATTTACGAAAACGAAAAGTTGCTTTGAAAAATGTAGACGAAGAGAACTTTTGCTAAAAACATACGACCCAAATTCCTTTTGAGCGCCTATTATAGCCCTTAAATACGATTTTTATATCAAACAAAAATTAGAATTTTTGGCTGAAGGCAATTTTTTTATGTACGATGTCCGATGTTTCGATTGAAAAATCATAACTTCTCTAGAATCTATCCAAATTCAACTTGGTAACAAACGGTGGAAAGATGGGTGTATTTTCTTTAAGCCGTATTAAACCGAACCAGGCGTTTTTTAGACAAATCCGAAACTTGAGCAATCGAATTCATTAGGGAAGTACACTTCTTTTAAGCTAAAATACATTCCATCAACGCTTGTGCTTTGGAAGAAAAGCGGCTATTAAAGCATAAGCAAAAATCACATAAAAATTGGTCAGTGAATGCATACAAAATCTCAAAAATCTGGAGAAATACAACTATCTGATGATATCTTGGCTACCTGGACGCAAAGGAATTTCGGGTAACGAAAAGTGAGACTCACTGACCAGAGGAGGTACTGCAAGATCATATTATAGGCCCTCCATAGCATTACAAAAACAAAAATAGAATCTTGCATCACAGAATGGATGAAAAAAAAAGAAGAAGTGGATAAACTCTAGAGAGGTAGATACAGTAAAATTATGCTCAACTCTCACCAAGACTGGCAAACTCACTGCTACAGTTGGATAGGGCTAAACTCAGAGGAGAAAACATCTACATAACACGGGTATAGCGGGGTCGTCGGAAAGGCTCTTGCGAATCATGAGTACGACCGGTAGGTCCTCAGAGAACTTGAGCAGGAGAGGAGGGATCGTCCTCACCTGTCGAGGACATCATGATGTTTCACTTTGAGGTAGGGCGAATGTCGTAGATAATTAATTTGACTTTTGAAGCACCGACTCTCCAGTGGTAGTTAAATGTTTAATCATCAGTACAGAATTTCAATCTCTTCAAATTAGGAACTAATTATTTAACGACGTAATGTAGGTTGAACATTTAACTAATAGAGTTGCGATGTGTATGGTAATTTTGTCCTTTAAAAACATACTTTGAAAGGTGTTAACAAAACAATTGGGTTAATAAGGAATTTAAAGAAGATTTATTGGGTTTGAAGCAGTAATGAAGCATTGTTTCTCAGGATTGATTACCTTTTTGTCAGCGTTTCTTTTGCTTAAAAATAGATGGTATTTTAACTACACAGATTTAGTTTTAAAATAGTCTATTTGTACTAGTTAAATTTCATTTCGTTTTTAATTTCAAACTATCCCTTATTAACATCAAATTATCTCTTTTTAATTTCAAATTACTTAACCTGTTTTAAACTTCAAATTAATCCTTTTTAATTTCAAATTCGATTTTTTTTTACTTCAAATGAACCCGTTTTTATTTGCAATAAAACGTTTGAATTTTTTTATTTTTCATCTTTTTTGTTTGTTTTTATTTTCAACTTGCCTAAACATTTGTGTACTTCAAATGAACCCTTTTTAACTTTAAATGAACCCATTTCAATTTCAACTTACATAACCTATTTTTAACTTCAAATGAACCCTTTTTTATTTCATATTAACAGTTTTTAAATTCGAGTAAACTTTTTTAATTTCAAATTGAAATTTCCTACTTCACATTAATCGTCGTAAAATTAAAATTACACCTTTTTAATTTCAAATTATCTCTTTATTTACAACATTTTAATTATTTTATGTTTTAACCAAATTTTCAACTTAAAAGAAAATCCTTTTTTATTAATATTTAATTTAACAAAATTTTAAATGTTAATTGTAATTATTTTTCATATGATCTTAACTTTTTTAATACTTAATATTTTCTTATTCTATATTATTATAAATCGATTGATTGATAGATGCTGAGCAGGAGATGAGGTATTGCCCTCACCCGATTGAGGATTGGCCATACGCGGTTGACACACGGGCACCTGCGTGGGCTTTGGCCCAAAAGAAGCAGGTGCCCCTTATGCAGAGAAAGGTTGCTCGATGTGTCCCACATAATAGAGGCGTGTCATGCCTTGGCTCCATAAAGAGAGCGTGTAGGCCGCCGGATCTAAGAAGAGTTCTCGAACACGGTAGCGAGTTTTAGGGTCCCCTGTTCCGCTTTTTAGGGGAATTGGGAATTTTTTAAATTGAATATAGAATTCAAAATATGTGTTTTGTGTTTCTGTGTCTTGTATAAGTGAATGTATTTATTGGTGTGAAGGGGGATGGGAAGTAGCCTCTCCATCGCCTCTCAGGTTGTGTGTAAGACTTGGGCCGATGGCGGAAATTTTATAAAAAAACTCAACGACCCCAATTTAGATTAGTTTATTTTAGGAAACAGGTAATGGAGGAATATCGAGTACTCCATCTACCAAAGAGAATTAGTGTAATCAATGTATGTTGGTGTGAATGTATTTATTAGTGTGAATGGGGAGAAGCTGATGGTGACGTAGCAGCTTCATCGCCCCTCATGTTGCCTGCGTGATTTGGGTCAACGGCGGAAAACTTTTAAAGTACCCCATCGACCCCAAATTAGAGTAGTTTATTGTAGTGAACAGGAGGAATGTAGGAATATAGAGTACTCCATCTACCAAACAGTGTGAGTGCGATCAATGTATGAATTGATTATTGGCGTGATGGTGTGTCGAGTGTGTAGTGGTATTTCGCTACTGCTTCAGGGCTGAAATGACCAAGCTGTCGGATGCCCCTGTCAAAAAAAAAAAAAAAAGATGACCCAACTTGTAGGTTATACAATGGGAAGGAAGAAACAGCCACCCACATCATCTTCGAATGTTAAGCAACTGCTCAATGGCGACATAACCCGTTAAACAAAGAAAATCCAGTAAAAGAAAAGGAAAAAGGAACGACAGTCATTGACTACATAGGAAAAAGATTCACTTGATTGCACTGAACCAAGGATCTAGAAAAATACAATAAGCCAGAAGGCTACAGTGGATTCAAGAACAAAAAACCGACTTCTTAGTATCCATCAACATCATCATCATCATCATTATCACCATAAGGCAACTTTAGTGGTGATTCATCACAGTGAAAAGTTGAATAAAACCGATATTTCCTTCCACTTTTGTAAAACGAGTATTTTAAGAGGGTTGAATTTAGTACTTCATAAAGGTTGACTTCTCATCGGTAACTTGGTTCAATTGTTCAACACTTTATTTGAAACGTTGGAACTGGACCGGGTAGAGAGAAAAAAGTTAATGAATAAAAACTTTTCCTAATAACTCAGTGTTTTGTTAATGGAGTTCTCTCGTTGATTAAACATCTAAATCAAGCTTATTAATTAGGAAAAGTTTAATATTTTCTCGTATTTAAGAATTCATTAAACGGCGAGCTGTGGGCCTTTTATTTATTTTCAACCTAATTTATATAATGTCACTAATGTAAATTGTTTTTTGATTTGCAGAAATATCACGACCATGATGCGGAAGTCGGAAGGAAGGACGGCCTTCTCCTCATCAGGGAAATGGCCACCGAAGTCAAGAACATGATGGACATCAAAATGAACTCCATCAGGGTGAGTAACCCGACAATGAAATATGAAATCTAAAGTGTAAATTATATAGGTTTTTCCCGATTCGGTTTCATTAAATATTTAATATTTATTTAGAAATCGTGAGATGCGGTCTGGTGTGATGTAGGTTTCAGAGAAACATTTTCTTTATCGTGCCAACGTTTCGATCTTAATTGAAATCATCTTCAGGGAGGTTCCTCTCGACACGACACACAAGAATGGCAAAATTACACAGAAGACAAACACTTTGAGCCCTGAAGATTTAAACAATGTTGATAAATCCCAGGCCCTGAAGATGATCTCAATAAAGATCGAAACGTTGGCACGATAAAGAAAATGTTTTTCTGAAACCTACGTCACATCAGACCGCATCTCACGATATCCGAATAATCACCACACATTCGTACATATTTATAAAATCTTTTGTGGATTACATAACATCTTACGATTTCGGCTTGTCAATTAATAAAAAGTCAAAACATTTTTCAACTTTGTTGTTACGATATTTACCCGTTTTTCTTTGATCTTGAGTTTTGATTGAAAAGTTTGTACACCTTTTACTGTAAAAACTTTTTGATTTAGTGGACGTTTCTTAGAGTGTTATTCCTTTGATCTTGTTACCAAACTGTAAGTTATTCTATGGTAAAGTTTTTCCTTTCGCGTATAGTTTCTCAGCTTTTTGAAGTGGTGATGAAGGCTTGACTTTTGATATAAAGTTTTCTTAAATTTACCCAGGAAGGAACGATCTTTGATCTGTTTCTGTGAATTGGGGACCACATTAGGATAGTCATCTAACCTTTCGAGCGGCTAGTTTTAACCACAGATTTAAACATTGTAGCATTTTTCTCAATATAAAAAGAAAGAGTAAAACAATTAATTACCTAATAAGTATTTTTTTAACAAATGTATTGGTTCCGTAAGCCGCGTTGGAAAAAATGCGACAGGGTTTTATGAAAAGTATGGTTCATGTGAATTTTTCAATTGGAAAAAAATTTTGAAACTGCACGGCGTTTTTCTCAGTTTATGACGTGCGAAATGTTTTTGCCTGTCTTCCTTATCTCCACTCTTGACTGAACGTCGTTCCTCTCCTGCGATTGATTATTTCCGTTGTTCTGCCGAAGCGAGTACAATTATATGTATGTTATTCAAGCCTTCAGAAAAAGAAATTTTTATAGTCTTATGTTTTTCATATTAGCCATTTTACGCTGATGGTTTTATATGGTGGAAGGGGAGCGTGATCGAAAATTCCAGGGGCGACGGTTGGAACCGAACCCACGACCGGTGGGTAGTCTAACACGCTAACCACTCGCCTACTTTGGCGTTTTCATATATTTAAAAGCAGTTTTTGAACCTTTTTGCCTGTCTAAGTTTGTAGGTAAACTCAAATTCTTGTATGCTTCGGATGATTTAGCGATTCGGACCTTACAGGGAATCTCTAAATACGTCTATAAAGGCTGATGTGAGGCATGGTTGTGCATTTAGTCCTCTGTTATTTGCTGTTTTTGTGGTTAATATCCTTTAGCTGACTTGAAAGACTTTTTAAAAGTCATGTTGGTAATACAAAAATCAAAAAATTGTTTAAGTATGTAAATTTTTTGTTTTTAGCCAATTTCGACTTTCAACCCTATAAAGGCAATCCCCTATTACCTGCAAGCCCTGTTAGAACAATGGCGTGAAAAGCCCTCTTGAAAGAGTTTGTTAAGAAAAGTTTAGTTAATCAGAAAATTCAATCAAGGATAAACTGCGACCTGTACGACATGAAATCATTTAAAATTTATTTGAGGCATTGCTTGCTATACGAGTTCGATCTCGCGCATAGAGCGGCGGAAGGATTTATAAGGAATATACGTAGGAACTGAACGTGTTGAACGTGTGAGTCAACTATAGATGGAAAAACCGTTCACTCAGTGAAATGAATCAGCTCGTTTTCATGGCTCACCGCTCGCGCTCACCACTGTTGACATTAAATTCACTAATTTCGTGGTCCGCTTGACCAATTAATATATTACAATTAATTAAGGTTTTTAGTTGAGATGAAAAAAAGTTAATGGCACGAGCGGGATTCGAACCCACGATCTTCGGCTTGATACGCCGCAGTTCTACCACTTGAGCTATCATGACCTCGATCCACTCAGACACCAACTTCCCATCTCAACCCCACTGGAGTGGATCGAGGTCACGATAGCTCAATTGGTAGAGCAGCGGCATATCTAGCCGAAGATCGTGGGTTCGAATCCCGCTCGTACCATTAACTTTTTTTCATCTCAACTAAAAACCTTAATTAATTGTACTGTTGACATTGTGAAGATTTTGTCCATAGTTCTATGATGGTTAAAACCTGACAAACTTGGTGATTTGCTAAATTTGTCCAACTATCTCACCTGCTTCCTCAACTATTAATTTAACGTAGATCGCCCATTAACTCGATGTATAATTTTGATTAAACAAATCTCATTGCTCTTCGTTTTTTAAATTGTGAATTCTATGGGGTGGGTGTTTAATTTAAATCATTAATATTAGATATTCCAAATATTAACTTGAACTTGAAAAAATGCAAGAAGTCAGAATTTCAGAATCAGAAATGAAACATTATTTCGGTGGGATGGGAGGTGGAAAGAAAGGGAGAAAACGAGAGAGCGAGAGAGAGAGAGAGAGAGAGAGAGAGTAAATTAGTTAGTGTGTTAGAGTGAGAGAGAGTTAGAGAGAGAACGAGTGATTGAATGAGTGAGAGAGCGAGAGAGAGCGCGTAAGTTAGTTAGTGTGTTAGAGTGAGAGAGAGAGAGAGAGAGAGAGAGAGAATGACGGTACGACAGAGAGTGAGTAAGTAATAGTAAGAGAAAGTGTATGAGTGGTAGGAAGTGAGTGAGTGACGGTAAGACAGATAGTGAGTTAGTAATTGTAAGAGAAAGTATGTGAGTGAGTGAGAGAGGGATTGAGTGATTGGGTGATTGAGTGATTGAGTGATTAAGTGAGTGTGGGTGTGACTGTGACTGTGAGTGTGAATGTGAGTGTGAGTGTGAGTGTGAGTGTGAGTGTGAATGTGAGTGTGAGTGTGAGTGAGAGTGAGTGAGTGAGTGAGTGAGTGAGTGAGTGAGTGAGTGAGTGAGTGAATGAGAGAGCGAGAGAGAGAGAGAGAGCGTAAGTTAGTTAGTGTGTTAGAGTGAGAGAGAGAGAGAGAGAGAGACATAGAGAGAGAGAGAATGAAGGTAAGACAGAGAGTGAGTAAGTAATAGTAAGAGAAAGTGTATGAGTGAGAGTGAGAGTGAGAATGAGCGTGAGCGTGAGAATGAGAGTGAGAGTAAGAGTGAGCGTGAGCGTGAGCGTGAGAGTGAGCGTGAGAGTGAGAGTGAGAGTGAGTGTGAGTGTGAGTGTGTGAGTGAGTGAGTAAGTGAGAGTGAGAGACATGCGATACACTAAGACCAGCTTAGGCTCTACGAATTTTCAAAAAAATTGTTCAGTGAATCCTTCACCACCCTTCACTACTAAAAAAAAGAATATTAGATCCGTCTATATTTTTCTTGTGCTAAGTATATAATCCTACTGCTTAAAAAGTGTGAAAAATAGAACGAAGTAGTGAAGATAATGTCAAATTAATGTTTAAGAACTGATTTTTTAATGAAAAATTGACATTGTATATGTAATCTAATACGTTTACCATTTTGTGTATGGCATAATAATAAAGTGTTGTTTTGTAATTTTTTTTCTACGTTTCTATGTATTTTATCAACACCCTCTGTAATCCGGATTTTCCAGTGATCTGAATACCCCTTCATTTATTAAATAGTCGGGATTACTGAGTGAGAACTGTAAACACAAATGCGTTATGTTGGCCGAAATGCAACATTGATTTACTTACATAACAAACAATAATAGGTAATAATGGGTAAACCTGTGGTAATCTGAACGGCCATCATTAAAGCCGTTTATCCGAAAACATTACATGTATGTTTACCAAACGCCTAAGCTAGTTTTCTGTCAGCGGCCGATTCACCCTCGGCAAAAATCGTCCTGCAACAAGGTAAAATTTAATAACCGTCCCGTTTGTGTTTTTTTTACAGAGGATAATGGACATTGCAGAACAGGCTGCACTGTCGTACAGGTTAGAGTCAGAAGGGGCGTCGGTTAAGTTCCTCAACAGCAGAAATTTAAAAAAACAGCCGGGCGTCGTGTTGGAACAGAACAGGCACTTCGATCGAAGGCACGTCAACACTTCCGTCAGTTCTGTCATCATGCCGGCATTCCTGAGTGAATCTGGTAAGTTCTATGTTCTAAATTAATTAATTAACACAATGTTTATGTCAAAAACAGGAAAACTTAAATTTTAAGTCAGAAACTGGTAAACAGTAATAACTCATTTTTCATTTTTTTTTTTTTTAATATAGAAGTTCACATTTAATTTCACTTTAAAGTAAATCTCTGGCCAATTTTCAAAAGCATAGCTAATTTAATCGAACAAGGGGAGCCTTTAAAGCCTTTTTAATTTCATTCTTGCTTTATTAAAGAGGCTCCCTTAAATTACAATAATTAAGTGACTTTGCCCAAGTAGAACAAGGGTTAAAATTGACATTTGAAAAACAAATTAACCTTCAGTGATTATTAATGTCAATCTTGGAATTGGTGGGTCGATTTTTGCTTTTATTTTACCCAAAAGGTTCAAAATATCACAATACAACCTGGTTAAAATTCTTCTCGTTAAAGTTATTCGTAGGAGTTGTTATCTATAACTCACCATCAGTGTTACGTTACTAATATTTCGCCATTTTTTAATATAAACATTTACGTATTAAGCTGAATCCAAAATCAGGTTTTACGCAAAGTTCAAACATAGTACGACTATCCGTAATTAAAAAACTAATTTATTAAATTTAAAAAAAATCTGGCTATAGCGAATCTGATTAGTTCAATTAATGAGACTCATTGTCAATTTATGAAAAATCTGTTTGACATTGAATAATTAATTAATCTTTATGTAAGGTATTGGTTGAAGTGAAAAATTTAGTGTCACGAGTGGGATTCGAACCGACGACCTTCGGCTCAATACGCCGCTGCTCTACCACTTGAGCTATCGTCACTTCCATCCACTCGGACAGCAGCTCCCCATCTCAACCTACAACCTTTCGAATTTGTCCTCCTTTTTGCCATTTTTCAAATGTCATGTGATCAGGATTCGATTCTCGGTGACATATGAAGTGCCCACGGAGATCTTTAGTGAAGATATACTTCATTTTGCGTACTAAATTCATTAGATTTTCTGGTCCGATTGAGGAAATAACTTCTTTCAATTAATCTTTATGTAAGGTATTGGTTGAAATGAAAAAGCTAGTGTCACAAGCGGGATTCGAACCGTTCGATTCGACTTCTAGTCACGATAGCTCAAGTGGTAGAGCAGCGGCGTATTGAGCCGTAGGTCGTGGGTTCGACACTAACCTATTCATTCCAATATAATAGGTATATAATAATTCAACTATGTAAACGAGTTTAAAATCTTTCAGATAATCAAAACTAATAATTTGAGATTTAAAGATTGTCTTCTAAGTAGTAGTAATTAAAATAGTTCATTGTTGTCACAAGCCCTTGTAAAATATTTTAAATGCGCTTATGATTTTTCTAATTAAAAAACGGTTTTATTAAAAAGGTTTCAAAGTAGCAAGCATGCCTATTTTTTAATGGCACATCGTACATGCCTATTTACTCACGTAAAACATCAATATAACTATTAATATAAATATTAAAATAGTTCATTGTTGTAAGCAAGCCCTTATTGATTATTATATTTGTTTTTTGACTTTTATAAAATATATAATAACATATAACAAGTTTTAAAGTCTCAATTATGCTTATTCTCGATGTAGACATTGTATGTGCTTATTTACTCACATAAAACACCGACACAGCTAGTAATCAAAATAGTTCATTGTTGAGGACAGACCATTTTTCGATATTTTTAATGGTTTTATGGTTTTTCAAACATATAACAGTTTAAATTAATGTGTTTTATGACCACAAATATGCTTATTTTTGAAATATACAACCTACGGGTCTATTTATTCAACGAAATCGCCGATATAAATAGTCAATATCAACAAAAATAGTTCATTATTGTAAGCAAGCCCTCATTGTTTTTTTATTGGTTTTTATGATTTTTCTAATAAAAATAGTTCATTATTGTAAGCAAGCCCTCATTGTTTTTTTATTGGTTTTTATGATTTTTCTAATAAAAATAGTTCATTATTTAAGCAAGCCCTCATTGTTTTTTTATTGGTTTTTATGATTTTTCTAATAAAAATAGTTTAATGTAATGAGTTTTTAGGACGTTATTATGCTTTCTTTGGAAGTGGACATCGTCCAGAGCTATTACGAAAAATGCCGATATAACTCGTAATAAAAGCAGTTCATTGTTGTAGACAAGTTCGTACATTTTATTTGATTTTATTTGACTTTATGTTTGGTTTGATCTTATATTTACATATATTTATATTTATATTAATTGGTTTAATTTTCAAGTTAAATTTTTTAATTATATATAATAAAATTTGAATTATTGCTACATTTGATTAAATTATGAACTGCTAGAGCTCGTTGAAACAGCACTTGAACGACTAGAATAAATATAAAGAAATGTGCGAATTAAAACCCTATTCTAACTCACAAGTAAATTCACAGTTGTGGAGATTTTTTCTCGAAAAATAGCGACAAAAAAAGCTCTGTAGTCAAGATTGATTTTCAACTCGACAAATAGACTTATAGAAGTCAGTTTTGTTTTTTCTTTATCAATGAACAGAAAAACGATCGATCATACTAAGTTGTCACAAAAGTTTTGGCTCGGGATGACAGCTTTATTTAACTGTTGATTTAAAAATTCCTGTGTACGGGGTCAATGTGAATGACAGGCGGGGGCTTTATCGCTAGTTGAAGAATGGGGATTTCTTTGTCTAAAACTTCATGTTACTCTTGAACCCTAGTTAAGCACTTTTTCAAAAGGCTATCGAGCTAATTGAAAAAAACTGCAACCTATTGTGGGTTTTTTTAAACTCTGAGACTGACGGTATCAAATTATTTATAAATTTATCATCGAACCCCCTGTCAAAAAAGGTTTCTCTAAATAGATGATCAAATTTAATCGGAAAAAACGCTTTTTTAACGCATCATGCACATCATTTTTTTCTCCAAGTTCTCTCACTATTCTCTCTCTCCTCTCTCCCTCTCTCACTCCTTTCCTTTCTTTCTATCCTTCTTTCTCTACCTTTCTCTCTTACTCTATCTCTGTATTTCTCTTACTACTTTTCTCTGTCAGCCTCCTGCTTTTACTCTCTCCTTCCCAGTCGGCGTCTTCCTTTCTGTTTTTTTTCTGACTCATTCTATCTCTCGCTTTCTTTCTCTATCTCACCATTTCTATCTTTCTTTTACTCTTTCTTTCTATCTCTCTGTTTATCCCCACCTCTCTATTTTTCTCTCACTCTATCTCCATCTTGTTCTTTCTCTTTGACTTCCCTCGTTCCTTTCTGTTTCTGTTTATCCTTTGCTTTTTCTCTTTCTTTTCCTTTCACTTTTCCTTTTTTTCCTTTTCCCTCTATAACTCTCGTCCTCTATTTTTCTCTCATGTCTCACTTTCTTTTTCTTGCTCTCTTTTTTCTTTTTTTACTATATCTCTCTCTATCGTTCTTTTTTCCTTCCTTTCTTTCTCTCGCTCGTTTTTCTCTGCTTATTATCCCATTTTCTTCTTTCCTTTCTACGATCATCCACTCTCCATTGACCTCTCAATTTCTCATCAAGTTAGTTTGTGCAATATTGTCTCCTCACTCTGTCGCCCCTCTCCCTCTCTCTCACTCTCTCTCTCTCTCTCTCTCTCTCTCTCTCTCTCTCTCTNCTCTTGCTCTCTCTCTCTCTTGCTCTCTCTCTCTTTGCGTGCAAGAGAGAGAGCGAGAGAACCGAGACAATATTGCACAAACTAATTTGATAAGAAATTACTTTCTATGTAATTACACTTGGGAAAATGGGGTTTTGGGCGAAAGTGCGGAAAAAATACACTGACAGGCAAAAAATTCCGCCCACTTTAATATAACTTGATTTTATCAGCTTCTATTAAATATATAAATACTCAATTAATTATACACAATTTTTTTTCGAAATGAAAAATTTGTGTCACAGGCGGGATTCGAACCCACGACTTTGCCGCGATTTGCTTATAATTAGAATAAAATCGGGTAGTCGAAATGAGAAGTTTGTGGCATGGGCGATCGAAGTCACAGTAGCTCAAGTGGTAGAGCAGCGGCGTATTGAGCCGAAAGTCGTGGGTTCGAATCCCGCCTGTGACACAAATTTTTCATTTCGAAAAAATTGTGTATAATTAATTGAGTATAACTTGATTTGTATATATATTTATATATTAATGAAGTTTCACGTTTTTTAACGTTCAATAATTGAATCTTTGTCTAAAAAAGTAAAAAAAAAAGTAAATTGCTAAGGAAAATGACAAATAAAAAAATTTAATAAATGTAGATGGGGTAGTCCAGGCTAAGACCCTGATGTTATGCTGTTGAAGGTACGTTTGTACTATGCGAGCGACATGTGGACGGGCATTATCGTGCATTAGAATTGGCTTGTCGCTGATTTCATCAAGGATGGGCAACGCATGATGTTCCAAAAGCTCATCCACATAGTGAGTGGCTGTCAGAGACCCTCCACGAACTCTGTGCGACCCTCCAATGAAATTATCGCTCACACCATCACTGACCTACGTTGAAAAGGTTGGCTCTGGGAAAAATTTCAGGCTTCGTACCTTTCATTTCGCCCCATCCACACTTTTTCACGCTCATCTGTGGATCATGACCAATGGCTGTGCTCTCGAGCGAATGCAAGCCGTGCAACTCTGTGTTCTGGTCAATTCTTGTCCTCTTACGGGGTGAAAAGCCATCAGTCCATACTGATTTAATCTTCATCGAGCAGTGCGCTCAGAATTTTGGACACCTCGAACTTCCTGGAGCTGATGAATTGCTTGAACAACCGTAAGGTGCCGGTTTCGCGAAATTCCCTAAGGTAAAAAATGGTCATCCTGTGGTTCTGTTAACCTAGGGCGTCCAGAACCCGACCTTCTATGGTAGGACCCAGTTTCTCGAAAAGTCTCGTAGTGTTTCGTAGGGAACTCCGATGGCAACAGCCCCATACCTGATGCTCATCATCAGTAAGTGCCACACCACTCGCAACATGCATTAAGTGGCATTTTTAAGTTTAAAAATGAAAATAAACAAAGCTGA